TCCATCCATCCATCCATCCATCCATCCATCCATCCATCCATCCATCCATCCATCCATCCATCCATCCAAAATTAATAATGTATTATAAGATCAAACTAAAAATAACTTGTTTTTATTTTTGTCTGTTAAAAAAGGTCAAACATTTTAACACATTTACAAAAAATGAACAAGAACGAGAGATTTTCCTAAACTCAAAACTGCTCACAGAAACAGTTCGAAGTTTTGACTCAGTTCTCCGTTCAGTCAGGAAATTCTTTATTTATTTATTTATTTTTTCAGGATGTGTTGAAATATCTCACTAAATGTGACGAAACCTAAAACGACGATGTGAGTCAGAGCGTGTTACAGATGTGTTGGATGTTTGTTACTCCAGGTGAAGCTTTGAGCTCCGATCATGAACCCCCAGCAGAGTTCAGGTGGTGAGATGAGGCACAAATATTTCAGTACATTTCATAAAACAATAACAACATGTGAGTATGAACACGGTACTTCCTGCGAACACATAAAGCAGCGTGTTGGTCCAGAAGGCGAACAAGTAAATGATTCTGTGGCAGTGAGAGGCCACAGGAAGTGACAGTTCTCCTTTTGTTGTCCTGTTCTTGCTGCTGAAAACCAAAGTTTGAATCAATCCTCCTAAAGGCCGGCTGTGGTTCTGGTTCTGGTTCTGTAAGGTCAGGCTGCTGTCAGGAGCAGGAGGAACGTGGATCCAGCTGCTGTTTGAGTCTGTTGTGTTTCTGTCATATCTGGGAGGATAGATGGAGTAAACCTGGTAACTGCCTGCAAGCAAAAGAACAAAGTGAAAACAGTTGTTTTACAACATTCAGACACATGAGAATGGTTTTATAAAAACACCAACATCTAAGAATCATAGTCATGAAAGTTGTTTTATTTAAATCAACAGTTGTATTTGATCAAAACCACTGAGCAGGTCAGTCATTTCATTAGTTTCTTTCCAGCAAAAATGATTCTGTTCCAAAAAGCTGAAATAAAACTGTTTTATTTTGTTTCTGAATAAAACAAAAGCCAGTAAAATGTAACTGATCGACATTAATTTGTAATGATTTAATTTTCACATATTTAAATACAAAATGCTGAATCAGTATTTCAAATATTTTGCTACTTTCAGCTAACTTTTGATATCTTATTCTAGTTAACATTTTGCTACTTTTTACTTTTAGCCATCTACAGAAGACTGACCAAAGAGGAACCAGGTGAAGAAGATGAGCAGCAAGGTGAAGATGAACAGAACCCAGATGGTCGGGCGCGGTGATCCCTTACAGACGACCATCGGCAGAAAAAACACGGCCATCATCAGCAGAGTCCAGATCCCAAAAACCATCACGTAGACTGGGATGAGTGGTGCAGCTGGACACTCAGACAGATAGACTGCTCCTGTGGAGGAAGACATCAGAAAACTGGTCATCAGACATCCAGTGGTTCATGAGAACCACTAATTTAACACAAAAACACTCAAATACAGGAACTTCAAACATTGTCAGCTTCTAAAAAACAGTCAAACAAACCAGTGAAATAAAGCAGTGAAATAAASCAGTGAAATAAAGCAGTGAAATAAACCAGTGAAACAAACCAGAGAAACAAACCAGTGAAATAAACCAGTGAAACAAACCAGAGAAACAAACCAGTGAAATAAACCAGTGAAACAAACCAGAGAAACAAACCAGTGAAATAAACCAGTGAAATAAACCAGTGAAATAAACCAGTGAAATAAACCAGTGAAATAAACCAGTGAAACAAACCAGTGAAACAAACCAGTGAAATAAACCAGTGAAAAAAAAACCCAGTGAAATAAACCAGTGAAACAAACCAGAGA